AAAATAATTAATTTAAAAACTTACAACATCTTATGTTTGGATATGCTGCAACTCTTCGGCCATTATACTATCAACATGTTCTTGAACACGTAATTCTGCATATTCCCAATCCTTCAAACATATCAAAGCCTCCAATATATCTTCTTTTAGTCTTGATCGTTCATCTGATAAAATTCGACCACCTAAACTGAATGCAACCTCCGATGCTACCGTAGACACCGGAGGTGTTAGTAGATCACGTGCAATTTTTGATACAATTGGATATTGCCTTTCGTTACATCTCCACCAATTTAAAAGACTAAATTCTTGTAATTCGTGCGGTTGCAACACACTACGAATATCCACGCACATATACCTAGCTAACTCAGAAGGAATTTCAAGATTTGTACCACCAATATTGATCGCTCTAGATGTTGATGAGCTAGAACTAGAACTAAATGAAGGAGCACTTGTATTGCTATCTAAATAATTCCATAAATTTTCGGGATTTGTTGAAATATTTCTTGAAAAAGAACTTTGAGAATTAGAACTACGCTGACCTTCCTTTTCAGCATAATAATTATACATTTCACATAAAAAAGATTCTATATGCACGTGTGATAATTCTATATTCAAAAAATCTGATATCCCCTTTACAGTAGTTTTTGTGCCAGTTAAATTAAGTCGAGGGTCCATTACTGAAGTTAAAAGAAATAAAGAAGGCAACTCTTCCCAATATTTACAAAATTTTAACTCCATAGAGCGGACTACATCAGCAAAAAGTGGCAAATTCCTATATTTATGAAATGCTTGTGAAATGTAGAAAAAATGTTGTAAAACAAGAGAAGGTGTAGGGTAATAAACACCGCTACATTCCTTTGTAGCATCGAAAAAAGGTTGTAGGAATTTTTTCACGTAAAATGCAATAGTCCATTCCCAATCTTCCAAATTATGTTCGGGTCCGAGTGTATGTCTACCATTATAATATAGTGAAATCACTTTATCGTAATTTTCACACAATGTAACATAAGATATGTAGAGTTCCACATGTGTGTTACATCAGTGGCAAATGATTTCTCCTGTAATCCATACTCTGCACACAAACTATTAAATGCTTGTTTTCTTGCTGGTGATGCAGTAATAAAATTTATTGCTTGTCTAATTTTATCTAAAGGTGAACTTATATGTTCTAATCCAGCTTTTATAATCAAATTAATAATATGATATACGCAACGTTGATGAAAAAATAAATTTCCAAATACGGGATTAAGATCAGCAATAAATCTTTCAATAACAACTTTGTTCACTGCAGCATTATCAAAAGTAAAATTTCGAACCATATCTTGTATACCATATTTCTGTATGATATCTTTTAAAACCATGTATATATTAGTGGCATTATGGGGAAATTCTACACATCTAAAAGCAATAATTCTTTTATGTAGAAGCCACAAGTGATCAATATAATGAGCCGTAGCAGCAATATAACCTTTTCTATTACAACCAGTCCATAAATCAGAAGTAAACGATATAACACTATTAAAACTTTTTAGACCTTCAATAGTAATTTGTTTTCTTCTGTTATATAATTTTATGATATCCGAACGAAGAGTATTTCTAGAATAAGAAGAATACATCGGTTGGAGATATTTCTGCACGAGTCGGGTAAAGTGTATTGAGTCTATCATCGTAAGCGGCATCTTTGCTGCAGCCACGTATGCAGCCATTCCTTCACGAAATCTTTCCTGTGAATATACAAAAGTGGAAAGAGTAGAATTATAACCGCCAAACACTAGTTCGGTTTGTTTCGAATCGAGATCGGCTGGTTTTGCTTTGCAACTCCTCAATACGTGTCTATTCAAATGCGTTGTGTTCGAGCCAGGCTTCCAACTAAGTTCTTTGCCACAATAATTGCAACATGCTTTCCAAATATCTACTCCATTTTGAACACCAATTTTTTTCGTGTCATATGTTGCCAACAGTCCGATGATTCTTTTTTTGACCTTTTTGTCTCGAGTACTTGAACTTCTTCCTCTTCAATATCTTCCAAATTAATTGGAACATTTTCACATGCATCGGAGTTAGATGGAGTACTCGAACTACCGCCAAACTGATTAACTTCATCACTTGTAAAATCCATAATAACTAGTAAAATAAAAAATACTGAATATTAGACTGTAAAGTGAAAGAAATTGAATATATTGTTATATGAGAAGTGAGAAAGAAGAAATTGAAACTTGAATCTGAATCTATGATATAGAAATAATGCGAATTAAAATCGATAGCAAAGTGATTTAAAACTTCAAAAATCATCTCGTATTTATAGATAAAAAAACCCGCATTATTTTTCAAATTTGAATTTCAAAAAGATAACAGTATAATGTACTAATAGTCTAATACGAAAAAAAAATCGGCAGCTATATAGCTGCCTGTGACCTGCTGCCTTAGGCAGCAGGTAAAAAAAAAATTTTTTCAAAATTTTTTTTTCTTTTATTTGCTCGGGCCGAGCGTTTTTGTCACGGGCCATTTTTGGCCCGTGACACGAGCCGTCGAGCCACACGGGCTTGCTCGGGCTCGGGCCGGTCTCTTATTTTGAGGCTCGGCCCGAGCCTAGGCTCGATCCCTACGAGCCACGAGCCACGAGCCGGGCGGGCTCGGGCTTTTTTCGAGCAGAGCCTTTTTGACACCCCTAATGTTATGTAATTCAAGGTGAAGATTTGAAAGGTGGATCACAACATAGTATTGGTGCAAGTTGATTGCTCTAGAGAATGTGAGTTGTATTGTGCTAGTTATGAGGTGATATGGATTATAGATTAAATCCAATTGTTGGATTTGGATTTAATCTAGTAGTCAATTACCTATACTAGTGTGGTCACTCTCTAGACCATAGTACAATATTTGAATTTTGAATTCAAATGAATTGACTCTATAATTTTAAGACATCTTCATTCTCTCTACTTGGACTTGGCATAACATTTGAGAGAGAGTATAGAGAGGTAACTAAATGGGAGCTTTCCATAACTCCGACGAAATTCTTGGTGGCTTCCAACGGATCTTTTGTCGGTATATCCATTGTCATTCTCGTGGACGACGGTGCATGATCCGGTGTGACACAAATCTGAGTTCAATATCAAGAACACTTCATTGGTGGTGTTGAAGAAGCTTTGGGTTGAGTTTGGTTCGATTTTACACTTTGAGAGTATATTATTCTGCATTTTAGTTGTAATAATCTTTTGTATACTACACGTTAAACTCTTCAGCACATTTATTTTTCACTTTAGATATCACTTAAGCACACGAAATGATACATATATTTTCACTCTCCTGTCAAATTGCTGTTCCATTTTATTCCACATTCTTTCCATCATATACACATCCAAAGTTCCCAGCACTTGAACTCAGAGTTCATAATTTAGTCTAATATGGCTTTGAGTCGGTGGACGTGGACATCATAATAGGACTGAAACCGTGGACAAGACTGGCTTGCCAGATTTTATCAACGTCGAACATCATTTTTCCACACTCGTGCACGTTCCAATCTTCCAAAGCATGCAATATTCCCGCTATACGCCATACGCTCATTACCCTTCTTGGCAACCAATTCTGTCATACGAATACAAGAATAAACTTCACATGGAAAAAACAGAATAAAATGATGAAGAAATTAAGTTTCTATCCCTAGTATACGTACCTCGCAAGAGTCAACATTTTGAAGATGCTTAGGAGCCAACATCGCTGGTATATTGTTGTAGAAACAGTCTTTGCGCCATTTCTTCGGTGGAAATTGTGAGAATGGAATGAATACTGTTCCTTTTGATGCCCTTAATTGTTCAACCTTACTCAGTCCATCTCCTACTATCCATATCTGTAAATATAACATTTTGTATTAGGTCAAGTCAACAATTACTATAGCAAATGAAGTTAAGTTTTAATATTATATGTTTATAAAAAAAAATGTATGCAGAAGAGAGAAGGAGAAGAAATCTAACCTTTGGAGCATTGCTTTTAGACAGGACCAAATTTTTTACAGCCTCAGTGCTGAGCCTTGCTTTAAGCTTGTTGTACTCATCCTCACGTATTACGTTTACCTAGTAATTACGACAAGCAAGAAAAGCCTAAAGATATGAGAAAACATTATCTTCTACTGCAATGCAACTAAACACGATTTTATCAAATTTTGTCGCCCATGTATGTCCATATATATTTGCCATGGTCACGCATATAGAATCAAAATCTGTTGCTTCTTTTTCTTCTCAAACACACCTGTATTTCCCTTTGGCATAAAGCAAGGGCAATGGAGTAAGCAACCTTCGACAGATTTCCACGAAAGACCACCTGGGTTGTTCCTTTTGGAATGCTATTCAGGACAACAGCAACAGCTAAACTGCTTCCATCTACCAGCTTGACTTTTAGCTTGGGGTGTCTTCTTACAAAAAGCTCTCCAATTCCGTTTAGTTCTTCTTCCTGTGATCAATATTTATGGAGCATACAGAATTAACATTTGACTCTTTGCTGATCTGAAAGTGGAAGTATTTCTAAGGGACTATAGAGCTTTAACTTACTTGATTCAGTAGACCAAGGCTCAACACCTTAATGCCCTTTTCATCAGCTGCCAGTATCGCATCCTCAATCAAACTATTGATTGATTCTCTTTGCGATTTCATGTAATACTTCACCAGCATGAAATTAATAATGTCAAAAATATTTAAATTACATGCATGTCTTTATATAAATTGATGCCTACATAGCTCCTTACCTGGATCTTATATTTTGGAATGGCCCATGTTTGTAACTTTAGATGTTTGAAGACATTTCTCTCAACCGTAAATGTGCGTCCATAAATCCGAGTTACCATCGTCGACCAAAGTGTCACAGGCCATATTAACCAAAGGTACCACGTCGAACTGTGAGGCTTAGAGGCCAGGGATGCAAATCCTAGACGCATATAATATATGGATTCAGGGGTAGTTAGATGCGTTAGATGAACTACATCAGCTTTGTCCTCTTTTCTATCAAGTGAACTTTCATATAGCGAGTCTGAGGATTTGTCCGTCGTTCCATAGATAAAATCATAAAATGGCATGAAGAGGGAGTAGTTGGTTCGAAATTGAGTGTGATGCAGAGAGTGGAACCTGTATACACCGCCAGATATTAATGCAGTCAGATGAATTCAGTTCTTTAATATGAAAATCATAACAAATTAGTGTTCCAATACATTGAAGAACTAGTTTGTATTAAAACTTACCATCTAAGGGTGGCTTAGCTCTCTCAGTGTTTATGCTCAATCATAAGACATATTTACTTATAAATAAGCACTTTTTGTACACTTAACATCATTTTCACTTATCATAAGAAATAAGAGGGTAAAAATATACTTACGAAGGCGTATACATGAGATACTTGAGAGGGGGAAAGNCATATTTGATTATGCAGCATTCTTAATAATAAGAATGGGAATATAAGAAAATGTGAAAGATCCCTCTCACTTTCATCGCTCACAATGAACGAATAAGTTTCTTGAATTGCCCAAGGAGCCAACACCAGGTACTTCATCCACAAAACATAATTATATCGCTTCAATATTGAATTAACAAAGCACGCACAAACACAAGATTTTGATTTTAATGAATTATGCAGATAAATGGAGAACAACGAAGAAGATGGTACCTTAAAGTTCCCAAGACATGTCCATGGCCAATCGGTGAGAATCCCTGGTTTAGAAGCCATTATTTGCAGTGCCACTCCAACTCTTCCAAAATGTACACATATAACACGTTTATATATGCATAGATAACCTCGACATTAATAAAGGTAATTATCTCGTAAGGTGGAAAAGATTATTATCTTTCATTTATTTATTTTGATATTTTTTAACTTATTTTGGCCTTTCAATGTGCAATAAATCATTTTCATCCATTTTCGAAATTAAAAATTGTGAAATAACGAATATACCCTTCTATTTAAATAAAATAAAACGAAAAGGAAAGAACTAATTGCAATAATAATTCTAATTTTTTTAAAAAAGTGAAAATGAGTTCGAAAAAAATTATTAAAAGAGTAATTAGCACATATTGTCCATACCTTTTACTATAATTGTTAAAAATATCTACAGTTTTTATTTTTTGACATTTTCACTTTTAATTACACATTTAATCACACAAACCATTATTTCTATCTATTTTCATCCAATTTTTCAATAAAAGCTGCAAAATGACGAATATACTTTCCTATTTAAATAAAAAAAATGAAAAAAAATGTAATTTTTTAAATTTCTAATTTTTTTTAAAAGTGGAGCGAGTTCGAAATAAAAAATTAAAAAAATATAAAAATTAAAAGTGCAGACGAGTCTCAACAAATTACTTAAAATATAATTTTCTTTTTTAATTTAAATATAAGGGTATAATAGTCATTTCACAGCTTTTATTGATAAATTGGATGAAAATTGACAGAAAATAGTTTGTGCAATTACATGTGTTATTAAAGGTGAAAATATCACAAAAATAAAAAGTATGGACGTTTTTCACAATAATAATGAAAGATATGGGCATTATTTGTTAATTACCATTTTACTAATTTATTTGGGATTCGTTTACACTTTTAAGAAAAATAAATAAAATTGGACTATAGTTACAATTAGTTATTTCTTTTTCTTTTTACTTTATTTAAATTAGAAGGTATATTCATCATTTCACAACTTTTAATTGAGAAAATGAATGCAAATGATCTTTTGCGTAATCAAAGGTGAAAATGTTAAAAAAATGAAAGATAAGTACGTTTTCATAATAATAGCGAAAAGTAAAGACATTATGTGTTAATTATCCCATTCATAAATGCGTCTTTTTATTTAGTCCAATATTTACCTGACATGTGGCAACCCCCCCCCCCCCACTCTCTCTTTTGCCCTTTTTTTAAACGCTCTTAATATAAATTTGTATGTAGCAGGGGTGGAGTCGGGGGAACTAAAAATGTTTTGTATACTGAACTGATACATTAAAAATAAAAAAATAAAATTGTTCCACTAAAAAATTAGTAATTTTCATTGAATTCCCACACCTAAAAATTTAGCCCAGACTGGCCCCCTTCCCTCGCCCATATATGTAGCACCTATATCTATATGTAAAGATAGCAGTGGATCAAATGGAACTGTCCACGAGTTGACTTTTTTCAATTAAACTACTTTGTCAGAATTTTTTTGACATAAATTCTCTCACAGTGCGTAGATCCCACGTGAATAAAAAAGTTCAAAAAAGAAGTTGGTCCCGTGCTAATGTAAGTGTCGATCATCTATTATGTCAAAAAAATTCTGTCGCCATAACATTGTTGGATTTTTCTTCATAGAGTTTAATAAAATAAACTAAAAATGGGTAGGATCGACACTCGAACCATCCATGGACAGAGTCGAGCCCATAAACCAACACGTGGCTCAAACATTTGCCACCATTCGTATAGGTTGTTTTAATTTAAAAGCCTGTAAAAAGTACCATGGCATAGAAAGCGCGTTGCTGAATTAATTAGTGTACACTATTGATTGGTGCATTTATAAGTGGCACATGCCAATCGAAGTTGGAGTAGTAATTGCATCTAGCATCTTCTCGATTTAGTTACAGATACGTCCAGCCTGTTGCCTACGAAACACTGATAATGGTAAGAAATAATTCCTTTTGATTTGTTATTTTCTGGCATTCCTTCCAAATTAATGGATAGTATGTACGTACGAAGCCTCATCCTAAAAGGTTCATCTAAAAGAATTAACTAAAATTTAAGTTAAATTCAATAATTAGTTTTAATTTCATGCTTCACGGGATCACAAATTTTTAATCGCAAATTTTATCAACTTTTATTGAAATTTACTTCAAAGTTCAAATACAATTTTTTTTTATCTAAATCCAATAGCGACTTAATCTCTAAAATTGTGAACATCATAGTTTTCTACACATAATCCTTGCGGTTCTGCTCAAGCAATTACATTTTTTGACAATTTTCTACCTTGAAAAGAAGCTTTAAAAGGTAGAATAAAAGCAGCGAAACGAAAGGAAAAAAATAAAAAGCCAAGGCAGCCCAAAAAAAATACAGAGCCAGGCTAGCCCGGCCCAGCTCGGCTCGAAAATGTCTAAGCCGAAAGTTGGGGTCGAGCCGAAATTTTTTGGCAGAGCAAAAGTTCGGCTCGAAAAAAAGCTCGACCATTTTAACCGAGCCGAGCTCGAGCCGAAAGTTTTAAGCTCGACTCGACTCGTTGACATTCCTACATTCTACCGCCTTTATGGTTCACTTCAAGAATTTTTTTTGCCATCACTATTAACGTGGATCAAAAGCTTAATATGATAAGTTATGAAGATATAGAAATATTATAAAGATTATTTTTCATGATATTTTTTTTAATTGTGTAAGATTATTTTTCTTCATAGTTGATTGTACGATTATTACAATTTTTGTTTTTAAAGCTAGATGTAATAAGAATGCAAAGTTTATTATATACAATTTATAATATTCATACATAGTATCAAAGCAAATTTGATCTTGAATTAATCTTACAATTGTTTCCTTTTCGACGAGCGTTCTTATACAATTCACCTTATACAATTCACCCTGCTAATATTACCTCTAACCTCAATATCACTCCAGCGACCTCTGTCATCTATCTCACTCTGAAAAGTTATATTTGGTCCACGAACTTTTAGATTTGAGCAAGTTAGCTCCTTCCGATGCCTATAAGATTTAATATGATTGCTTCTATTGTTAGCCAATGTTAGAATTATGATCGTGGGTTCGAATCACAAAACATCATCTTGAGGGAGGAATTGTTGGTGATTATGCAGATGATTACTCTCCACGATATTTTTTCAACTGTGCAGTGTTATTTTCTTTAATAGTTGATTTTGTGATTATCACAATCGTTCTTTTTAGAGCTAGATATAATCTTATAAATAGAATTTGCTACTTTGTAATGGGAACACAAGATTTATCATAATTTATATACAATTTTTTAATATTCTTACATTAAGTGTAATTTCGTTAAACCCAAATATCATCTACATATATATATATATATATATATATATATCATTGCTAGTTTGAATCATTGTGATCTCTGTCAAGCCATAACTTCTTCATTCCATCTCAATCGATATCTACATTTTATCCATCCATCCACACATGTTGCCAGAGAAGTTACACCATATTGAGAGTACATCGAGAAAGTTTTACCAATGCAATTAACTAGGGTCACACATTCGGCAATATCTCCATATACAGATGGGAATGTCTTGCACATACATGGCTAAGCTTAGAAGCAACTATATTATTACTTTTTGAGACTTGGAGTTATATCTCAATATCTAATTTTTTGACATGTAATTTTAAGTATTAGAATTGGTTTGTGACCCGAATTTTTGTTGAGTATTTGATTGGAAATACTATTGGAGAAGTATTTGACTCCTATTTCATCTCAAATGTTTCATCATTGGTTTTACTCATTGTATTGGGACATCACATTATATTAAACTCCTCATATATTAATTCTACTAGTGTGTTAGGGATTCTTTGGTTATAAATATGTGATGTACAATATATATTAAAATTGAGGAATTGTCCAATTAGTTATTGGTCCAAAGTGATCATTTGTAATTACTTACAGTTGATTATAGTGAATTCTTCGCTTCTGCTTGTGGTTTTTGCGAAATTGGGTTTCCACGTAAATCATGTTTTCTTTGTAATCCATTATTTTCATATTGTTCATATTTTTTCATTCTTTAATTATTTGGCAGGATTCTCAACAAAGTTGTATCAGAGCTGTTCCGCTTTCAATAAAGCGATTTCAGGTTTGATCCGAATCATAACAAGTGGTATCAGAGTCAAGGTTTTGGGGGTTCTTAGGAGGACCAGATTGATTATTAAAGAAATGTTTGAACAAAGTTGATTGTTTCAAGGATGACAATTATGAAATTTGAGATTCTGCTTTTGGATCGCAATAGTAGATTCTATTTGTGGCAGATCAAGATGCGAGCAATTTTTCCCTCAATTGGATCTTGATGATGCTTCGTTGGTGGTATGTATTTTCATCGCTTGACTAAAGGTAGATATTTGGAAGATCATCTATCGGCGTTCAAAGAAATTGTCGTTGACTTGGAGACCGTGAAGGTTAAATATGATGAAGAGGATTTAGGGTTGATATTGTTATGTTCATTGTCGCTTTCATATGTAACTTTTAGAGATAACATTCTCTATAGTCGAGATACTCTTACTATTGACGAGGTATATGATGTGATTTATTCTAAAGAGAAGATGAAACACTTGACCATTGGATATGAGGCCCAGGAAAAGGGTCCTGCTGTTCGTGAGAGGGGAGGGATAACCAAAAAATTCTGGTGATGCCAGTCTTGCGAAAGAAGATTTCAGTATTGAAGATTTTTTGACAATTACTGATGGTTACTCCAAATCTGACGAGGATTGAATTCTTGATTCAACTTGCACATTTTATATGTCCAAATTGAGATTGATTTTCTTCATGTAAAATAGTTATTGGGGCTTCCATGATGATGGGAAATAATGATCGATGGGGTGGTTAGGACATTTGGCCAGGCTCGATAAATTCCAAGTATAAATAGAAATGTAATCCCTTTGAGTACTCTTACTTCAAAGGGATATAGGTATACCGATAGAGGTGAAGTTCTGAAAGTTAGCAAGGATCCCCAATTTGTGTTAAGAGGGCGGAGAAATTCTCTATTACATGTGTTAGAATGTTTGGCGGTCACCGTGGATGCAGCTACGGCTTACGGTTTGATAAGCGGTGACTCAGGTGGAGTTGGT